TTCACTGGAGACTTGCCACAGCCACTTGCCTGGACAAGACCAACCACAGCAGGTATATATAGCTCACCATGACCCAGCTGTCAACCCAGAGCTATAAATACAGCCAGAGCAGAGATACAGCTATCAAGCCACTCTTGACTCCATTCATAATCTGTCCACAACACAGATAGCAGAGAGGTGAAGGAAACTGTCAGAGATTCCCATCCACTCACACTCACAGGAAACACAGCAAGACCTTCTTCCTTCCCAGTGTGTCTCTCTGCAATGTCCTCCTACTCCTCCACCTCACCTGGCACAGCCCAAGTGGCAGTAGTGGCAGAAGTGTTCTCCACCCATATGAGAGGATCAGGTTTACCAGGAAAGCAAATCCCTTTTTGAGACTACCTGATGTATTGGAAGGCAAAACCACTGATATGCTTGCTCTCCCCTGCCCTACCCATATCGGTGCCGGCACAGCCAGCTCCCATAGCACTCAGACCCATCCAGACCCAGGCTCTGGGCACATTTGTCCTGCAGTCCATCCCAGTTGTGCTCCACAGCCACTGCCAGTGCTGTGCCTTCTCTCCAGTGTCACAGCAGCCATGGCTGCTGTTGGGAAATGAGTGCTTACCTCTCCAGCCCCACCTCTGCAACTCAGGCCTCCCATAACCACCCTAAATTCCCAGAGCATTCCCCAGAAATCATAGTCAATGCTACTTAATTATCTTTTGACAGTTTTGAAGGGTGTTTTACTACTCTCTAGCAAATCCTCCACAGCTATAAGGCTGCTGTTGATGAACATCCATCATGCTGACTAATATGTCTCATTGCTTCCTTTTTCATTACCCCATGCATTTCTTATGGTTAGACAGTAAGCAGATTAGGGGTGGGGATTTTCTAGCCTATGCCTGTCCATCACCTTGCCCTATACATGGGGTAGGGTTAATTCACCTCCCATCTAATCTCACCCACAGAAGCCCTCCATAAAATGAACTCCCAATTTTAACAGGAGTCAAGCTCCCCCCATTCCAGAGAGACAAGCCCAGACAGGTTCAGTAAGCGGCCACAGCCCTGACAAACACAGACAGACCTGCAGTTCCCAAGCCAAAGCAAGGGGCCATCCTGCATGAGCAACACACCTCCGAAAGGTTTCATTATTCTGATGCAGCTGAGCACAAACCCTGTCATAAGAAAATGAAACTGCTACAACAACCTTCTGTCTGGGTTACAGACTGTGAAGAGTGGGGGCTCACAACTTCAGGAAATAAAATAATTATTAATGACATTGCAGATAGCAATTACTAATGGCATCAGCAGCAACCACCTCCACACCTGGAACAAAGCCCACATAAGCCACAAATGCTTATTCTCCAAGGAGCCCCTGCAGTCCTGCCGCATTCAGTGTAGCTGCACGATGTGATCTCCTTACATGCGCAGAGCAGAGATGGCCCGAAGGCTCGGGTGTTACCCTGCTTAGGCAGCGAAGAATTCATCACGCTCGCCACAAATTTCCTGCCCGAGGCTGTGAGAGCCGTGCAGCCTCCCTGGGCTCAGCCCTCCCCCTCTAGAGAAGGGACTGCACACACAGCCGTGTGTCACGGCTAAAGCTCGGGAGCACGATCCCAGAGATGCTGCAAAGCGTTCGGGTGATGCAGGCAGAGATGCTGCTTACAGCTTTACCCGCTGGTTCAAGGCGAGCCTCCCTTCTCAGACTGGCAGGGATTTAAGATCCAATCCCCGGGTATGCAAGGGAAACACATCATTGTAAGCTCTGTACATTGCCTCTATTGAGGATTTGAGCAGTGGCCAGCCCTTAAGCTGATTCTGGAGCAAGATGCATTTCATTCTCACATAAAAAGTATTTTTTTATGTGGCTTTACTGGCAACAGGCAGACTTTACTGGCAACAAAACCAAAGGGGGGGAAAAAAATAAGCCAGGTAGGAGAGTAGCTTGATGACATTCTTGCTTACTTAAATTAACATGAAGCTGTTCCACTGCTGAGCTGCCTTCTTGTGTTATTTCCTCCTTTGTCTTTCTAGTGGAGAAAATGCCCCGGGGGTAATGAAGCACTGAGCTAACTTCCCCATCCCACTCAATCCAGACCAGTTCTGATGAGGCTGATAAAATTCACCCAGTTTTACACCAGCAAGCAAGGTCAAATTTTATTCTGGTTGCTTATGGCCTGCAGTTCTTACCATGCAGAAGTCAGAAGGATTGCAACCTGCAGCAGTTGTGGAGGTTGACAGCAAATTAAAGGGAATACGAGTTCTGGCATTCAACTGTAGCAATTTAGGAACAGCCTTTTCATTACTGTAAAAATAGGAAGTATTGATAAGCAACATCTAGCTCTGATCTGCACTAAATCTCAAATTGTAACACTGACAAAGCAGGAACAGAGTTAACACTTCAAAAACAGGAAACTAATGCCAAGGGGAAATGCAGCTTGTCCAGACTCACGCCATGGAATAGGATAAGGCTTAGGACCAAATACCAGGTTCTGGTTCCTGCATCCTGTCTGCTGCACCACCTCCTCAGAAAAGGGACGCAGCAGTTTCTGGAAATCACCCTTAGATTCTCCTGTCCCCAAATTTCCCTTTAAATTTTTACTCCAGCACACCTGGTAAGCAGAATGTTTCAGCAATGCACAGCCATGGGCTCCTCGTGGAGGTTTTTTCTGCCAGTGAAATAGCTATGACTGTAAGGTTTACAGAGACTTTCTGTTCCTGTCTAAAATTATCTTTGCTGATCCTTGCGACGCCAAGACCACAGAGCCAATATTCCACAAGCCCTGAGAAAAAGGCACTGTATTTCAGGCAGTGTTGGTACAGCAGCATCCGTCAGCCACCACCAAAGCTCCGGGGTCACCCCCGTGCACCAGGGGACACTGCCTGCTCCTTTGCAGCATCAGAGAGCACAGAGACTCAGGGTCCGGGTGCTCTGTGGTTGTTCAGCCAAACAGGAGCCTCTGTGATCCCTGCTCAGGGTAAAAGGGGATGAAAAGACGGCAGGTGGATGCAGGCAGATGGGGGAAGCGGGGCTGAGAGGGAGACAACAGCAATTAGCATAAGCAGCGGCAGCCTCAGCTCACCAGCTGCTTTGCCGATTGTCTGCATCCCGATTTCCAGCAGCAAAGCAGCAATTTGCCGACGAGCACAGTCAGTAGCCAAGGCAGCCCCTCAGGACTGAAACTATCAGGGAAAACAAACGATTTCCATGGTACAAAACTATGGCTTGCAGGGCTTTGATGTAGGAGTTTGCCTAAGTAAGGCATGGAGCATGCAGCTCAAAACAGACACTAAATACTTCAGAGCGAAAGGCTAAAAAAGGAAGGTTTTAGAGGAGGAAATGAGTCAGTAGCTTGGAGGACGGGAGGGGGAGTTCAAATAGCTGAGGCATAGAAAGTAAGCAAGTAGTCACCATCTCAAAAGCTACAAAGTCAGCAAAGTGGATGTATTGATCTCAGGTTTTTGTTGATGTTGGGTCTCTTTCGAAAATGGAGACCACGGGTAACTTTTTATATTGATCATGCTGGATTTTGAAGCCATCCTTCATTGGGCAGGCATTTGCCAGCTGCAGTTCACACTGGTGTTTCTGACAGGAACCTAAGTGGTCACCACAGCTACAGGATTGCTGGAATCTCTCAGGGTTCCCTCTGGCTGAGGGATGGATTTTTGGGGGCAGTGCGTGTTTTTCAGGCTGATTGCAAACACCATTTGCCTTAAGAGCAGGAGGGGGATTCACCTTTCATGATGGTTCATCCAAATGTGCAGCCTGAGCTTCCAGCCTGGATTATTTATAGCACTAACACTATGGAAAAAAGGGCAAAGCTGGTTCACTGTTGAAAAGCAGAAGAGCTAGTAAAAAACCTTCTTCTCTACAATGTATTCACAATATTCCTGTCCGTCATTGCGACTACCTTGGTGGGCTATGCTGCTTTGTCTTCTGGGGAATTAAATATTTCAAAGAGCAGTTGTGGTTGCTGGTGAGTGAGTGCCCTTCCCAGAGCAGGCACATCTTCCTCACTAGGCAGGTTAAAAGTGAGAATTTCCTCTTACCCTCCTGGTGAAGGAGTTCTTGTCCCTGCTGAATTTCCTTTAACTGGTTAGATACTTTCTCAACCTACTGCAACGTTTCCAAAACCACCTCTCAGTGCAGGCTGAGCCAAGAGGCCAGTTCCACCTCATTTGCCCTTATAAGTACACAGCATGAGATAGCCCCAGCCCTGTTCTCATGGCCTTGCATCATCTCCTCCCCTCCTCCCCAGGATGTCGCACTTCTGTACCCCTTTGTCAGAGTGAAACCCAGCTAGGAAGAGCAAGCCTGGAGCAGTAACAGACAAATTACCCACATCAATGTTGATTAGAAAGCATGGCTGCCCCAGATTTCTGCACCCACCCCCAGAGAGGGAGGTCTGTTGTGGCACTGCCACAGGCTCTGACCACCACTGCCTTGATTTCCTTTGCAAGCCACAATCACAGCAGGAGGCAGCACCAGAAGTTGTCCAGAGAAACTTACTGACGGGATTGAAGCTCTCCCTACCACACAGGCACTTTATCTGAACTTGTTTTAGAACTACATTTCCAAATGGAAAAAAAAAGTATCAAACATGACCCTGTTCATTTCTTGGTAATACTTCCAAAGTAAGTCAAGATTTGGGGTCAAATTTAAGCATTCTTTGATTAAATGTATCAGAAATGGGCCTAGGGAAGAAGTATCCAGTCAGGCCAATTAAAGTCTGAGTCGTGCTGGTCTTTTTGCTAGTTTCATTACAAATCTGATGCAAGAGCTTTTGCAAAAAAGGAACCCCTGGCAGGAATAAGTCACCCAGCTCAAGAGCCTAATGAAAAAGGATGGACTTTTCAATGCACCCATCTTCAGCATGCGGTCTTCCAGCAACTTCTCATGTAAACATGTGAACATCTACAAAGAGCATCTACTGGGGTAGGCTTGAAAGAGGGGATAAAGCAAATAAAAATTAAACTCTTTTAACTAGAACAGCAGTATGGATGAAAACTGTAAGGTGTGTAAGCACTGCTTAAACCTTTAATAGAGAAGCTTCATGATAGTTGCAATGAAGTATTGTTCCCTCATACCCAAACCCTGAAAACGCCACCATCGAGTCTTGTTTTTGTTTCCTTCTTACACGAAGGCACATACACAACAAATAAGCTTTTGATGCTGGGAGCTTTTTGTTCATCGACTCAAGCCGGGAACATCACTGCAGTCAGAATTCGGTGATAAAAACCTAACTTTCCATTTATACATTTTGTACCATCAGCAGATGCCATTGTACTCTGATTACAAGCAGCCCGAGCTTTGCCGGCCAGGAGCATTAAGGAATGAGTATTTTCGTCAGTCAGGGCTGCCATGAACACGGAGCCGCAGCTCCTGGGAGCTGCCCCGGCCTCGGCAGCCGCGTTGCCTCAGGGCCGCCTTTGTTCCGAGGACAAGCCGCCCGTTGTTCCGGCTGCGGGGATGAAGCGGTGCCGGGATCCGGGATGCGCGGGTGCCGGCGGGAAGCGCCGGGCTCTGCCGCAGCCTCAGCCCGAGCCAATCAGCACCGCCCGCCTGCGATCGCACCAAAGTAGGTAGTGAAAAGCCCTCGGAGGGAGAAAAAAAAAAAAGAAAAAAAAAGAGAAAAACTCCCACACTTCCGCCCAGCTGCCCGCCCCTCGCCGCTCTTGCTGCTGCTGCTGCGGCCGTCCCCTCCCGCAGGCTCCCCGCTGCCCTCACGGCCGCCCCAGTCGGTTCCAGCCGGGCTCCCAGCAGCCCAAATCCCGCTGGTGCCCCCCGCGCTGTCCGTCACAGCCCCCCGAGCCCCCCAGCTCTACCCTCACCATCATCCCCGCACCCCGCCCGGCACACCTTCAAGCAGGTAACCCCGCCCACCCGCCTGCGTGCTCGCGCTATTGGGCGGCTGACACGTCAATCAGCCAATATCTCTCTGTGATTGGTTAAGTCTTCAGGGGCGGGGCCCTGCGTACGACGGTGTGGCCGCCTCCCGCCCCGCCCGCGCGTGCGCACGGGGCCGGGGCGTCGCCACGCGGGGCTCCCGCCATAGCAACCGCTTCCTCCTCCTCCGGGCACGGCGGCCGTGACGTCGGCAGCGCTTCCGCCCGGCTCGCGCCCTCGCAGCTTCTCTTCCTGCCGCCGGAGCCCGCGCCGCGCCCAGACAGCCGAGGGAGCCGCCGCCGCCGCACCGCGCTCCGCCGCCCGCCCGCCGCGCCCCGCTGACGCCATGGTAGGCACCGCGCGCCGCCGAACGGGCCTCTGGCTTCTCCGTCTCCCGCCTCCGCCTTCATCCCTGGGGGGAAAAAGGGGGTAGGGGGGTGGCGGTACCGCCCGCCGCATCCCGGCCGGCGCTGTGGCTGGCGGCGCCGCTGTGCCTGGCCGTATCGTGGCCCCCTTTTTCTTCTCCTTCCCTTTCTCCCGGTCCTTCCCGTTCGCCTTTGAACTTGACGCGGCGGATCCGTTCTCCTCCCTTCCCCCCCCGCCCCCATCCCGCCATGAGGCGGCGGAAGGTTACTCCCACCCTGCCTTGAAGTGATGGAACTGTCCTCCCTCCTTTTCCTCCCCCCCACCGTAAGGTAATGGTACGCTCCGCGTCGCACACAGGCGCTGGGGGCGGGCGCGTCCATTCGGCCCTGGGGGGGTTGGCGCGGAGCGAGGGCGCGGCGGGAAAAGGCCGGGTGGGAAGGGGGGGGCTGTGCGCGGCGCCGCAGGGCGCGGCCGGGAGGCGGCGGCCCCGCCGCTCCCCACGGGGGGCTGGCTGGCTGCGAGGGGGTCGCAGCCCCGCAGGAAGGCACCGGGTGGTGCCGGTGGGAGGCCGGGGGCTGCCCTGCTCGGGTGGAAGCGCGGCCGCCGCCTCGGTCCCGGCGGGAGCCATCTTCGCACGGCCCGGGGTTCGGGCCTGGCCTAGAAAGCGGCGGCGGGGCCAGCACGGGCCCTGTCCCCTGCCAGGGCCGCCCAGCCCGGCCCGAGCCCGCAGCGCTGGCGGCGGACAAAAGGGGGAAGCGGAACCCGCGGAGGGGAATCGCTGAGTGTAAAAACAGGGAGGGTGTCGCAGCGGCCTCTCCAGGAAGCTGAAATTTTGAGGCAGTTGCTGCAACGACTTGGGGTTGTTGTTTTTTTTTTTTTTTTTATTTGTTTTGCTTCTCCGGACAGTACTGAAAACCTTCATCCAAGGCATAACGCTGGAAGCAAAGAAACAAAAAAACTATTAAGGATCCGCAGTGATTTGCTTGTGTTTCCTGGCTTTCAAAAGAAAAAAAAGTGTTAGGGCTCTCCTTGCATAAATGGGGCAGAATAGAGCAAACGCGTGTTCAGTCTCATGGTGGCTCATTCTGTTTGCTTTGCCCGTGCTCAGAGTTTGCATCCCTGTTTGACTCAGGAGATGGAGGTTGGCAAATTTGCCTCAATTATTAGCTCATGCAGCTTTAACTACTGCCCTGTTTTTCTTGAGTCATCCACAAGCACTTGTCCAGCAACACACACTTACTGGGTTATTCACCCAGTGGCAATACACACATCAATACTGAGTTATTTACCTGTATTAGAGGTTTTAAATATTGAGGCCTTCCCTTGGTATTTACCACTGAACATGTGGTATATCCAGGAAATAAATTTTTGGTGTGTAGGGTGGCAGACAGGATGTACTGCTCATGTCCCTGCTTTCTCCAACACCCAAGCTGCAGCATGGAGCAGAGCTGATGGGAGCTGCAGATGAAGCTGCAAAAAAGTCTGATGAGACTCACAGCTCCTGTTTAAGAGAGGCTTGTCTCAACAAGCCAGCTTCCACCTCTGCAGTATGCAAACCTAGTTAAGTGTGACTACTCAGCCTGTCAGGCTTCATCTTGCTTTGCAACCAGGGAATTCCCAAGTCACTCAAAACTACTATTTCTCATAGTGATCTCCTTTTTGCAACAGGGTTTAGGATGGCTTTTTTGAGAGGCTGCAAATGAAGTTGGTTTTGGGCAGAGTGGAGGCCTTCTGGCAAAGTGTGGTAGTGCCAGCAGGAGGGCATCCTTTGCTATCAAAAGAGCTTGGATTTCCAGCTTTTGTGCCTTGCCACAATGTTCAGTTTCTTTGCTGCTGGATTAAATGAGTCCAAGGTCTTTGGAGTACCGTGCAAATGATTTTTCTTGGTTGTTAGTCAGTGCTATTCCCAGATCTGTGTAATTACAAGGTACATCTGCCTCATATACAAGATAACAGCCTCCTGACAATTGGTGCTGCTGATGTCTGGCATGTTCCTACTCGCCTTGGCAGGATCACTGTCAAGAGGCTCCTGCTGGGTGCACGGGCTGACCTAAGCAATCCCATGTGAGAGAGCCTGACTACAACCAGGCCTTGTTGTGAAGCTGTGCTCAGCCTTTTCCTCACCTGCTTGTTCAGTGTTCACAGCAGTCCCCTCGGGAGAGGAGGATCCCTCACTAAAAAGTGTCAGGGATGCCCAGAGCTGCCCTTCAAACCTCATTGTGAGGGTGGCATTTAAGCTTTAGGTTGCTGTAGGTACAGGAAAATTCCTACAGGCATTTAGGCTCATAACAGCTGATTTGTGTGCTGAATGTGTTCCTGAGAACCTTTGACTGTTACACACCAGCTTCCACCTGCATTACCTTGAAAACTTACATTTCAGCACAGGAATGGCTGCTGCTCAAAACTTCTGCCCTGCTGCTGCTGGCCACTGCAGTTCCTGTTTTTCAGTGCTGTTGCTGGGATTGCCTTTTGTGGGTATTGCTTGTTCTGCCTACCTTGATAGTTCAATTGGGAGTGAACTTGGTGGTGGCTCAGAGAAGGAGATAATTTCCTCTTTGGCTAAAAGCTGAAGAAATGACCTTCAGGAATTCAAAGGATAGTTTTTTCTTTTTTTTTAAATAATTGTTTTTAGACTCGTCTCATCTTGTCAATAACCTTTCTTCTTGGGGGTTGGGGCAGGAAATAAAAGCTGAATAGAGTTTCAGTTCTTTCCCTCACACCTTCCCCCTGCCAAAAGAGACCAAATAATGCAAAATAAAAACTTGAGTCTTTCTACAAGTGATATGCAGATGACTCTGTACTTCTTGCTGGTTTATGGTGTGCAAATAATGGCCTCTTATACAACAGTAGTAAAAGGCTGCTAGTTCTGTTTCCTGTCAGGCCTCAGATCTGAGTTGAAACCTTGCCCTTTGAGATGTACAGGCTGTCCCCTGTAAATTGAGGTGTCTCTCTGTCCATCTGTAGGTAAACAGGGAATGCGGGCTTTTCCAGGCTCCTGAAGTCCCTGGGGTTCCCACACTGTTCTGGTCTCTGGGATGAAGTCAAAGTAGCTGCTCCTTGCATTTCCTCCTTCCTGCTCAGAAAAGTGGGGATGTTAAACATCAGATGTGTTTTCTTGAGTGCTCAGATAACAGATTGAAAGCCAAGCAGTATTTAATATCTTTATGGTTTTGACTGCCTACATTTTCAGCTGGCTTGTTGGCCTTAGGTGGTGACACCTTTCCAGAGGCCTGATTTGGCAAAACTTCCTTTCAGCCAGGCTGTAACTCTCCCTTTCTCCTAAGTGCTCCCCCAACTACCTTGGCTCAGTTTTTCCCTCAGGTTCCATTGTGTGGCAGTGCAGAGGACAGCTCTGTCCCTGAAAGGTGCTGTCCCAGAGCAGTTGGGTGGAAATAGGTTTAATTGGAAAAGTATTTATTGCAGAGATGTACTATGACACATGAGTGAGTCAGAGGGAAGTGCCACATGGCTGCACAGGCAGCTCTGGCAGTGGCAGGGAATTTCAGAGGTAGATAGGAGGCTAAGCCAGGCATGAGGGAAACAGGGTTTGCTGAAGAAACTAAAAACCATATAGATGCCAATAATGTGGCCAGCAAACACGGGAGCACAGTGTTCTCACATCTGCCCTTGCAATTAAACAAGGCGTGCTTTAATACATTCTTGGTGTCAGATTCTGGAAAAAATTGATGATACTTTTCCAAGAAGCAAAAGTTTCCACTTGAGTAGCTGTGGATAGTTCACCCTGATGTGTACAATGTTTGTGAGTGGTTCCCAGACAAAACAAGTCAAGAGCTGTATCTTGGAATGTCTCTGGAGATAATGCATGCCCAGGCACCACTGGGGAGAGTTCTTGGGCTCTAATCACAGGAGAGAAACCAACAGTCTGAAATTCTCAAGACTTAAACTCAAATTTAGTCCTTCAAATTTGTCTTGAGGCAAACTAAATCATTAGTTTAAGGTCTTAGCTGTCTTAGAGTTGAGGAAAACAAGGACTCTTCTTAGGTAAAATATTTTAGGTATTCAAGAAAAATACTGGTGCCCACAGTATTCACTTCCTAACAAAAGAGATGTGGAATTTCATTGTGTCAAAATTGTGTTTTTGTGCAGGCTTCCTGTGAATCCAGTTTATCAGGTGCCTAGCATGTCTCTCACTCCTAAAATGGCTTTTTTATGTGGGGATTTTCTTGAGAAATCTTTGGGTTATTCTTCAGTCTCCCCCAATTTAGATTAAATTTCAGTTTGGCTACTTGGCAATGGAGGCAGAATGCTGGGAGCTCTTGGTGGGGGCAGCTGGGTCTGGATCCTGCAGTGGAGGCTGACGGGACACAGGGCTCCCTCTCTGGCTGCCTGTGGAGGGAGGGCATTGTGCTCTCTCCCAGCACTTGTGCAGAGCTCTGCACTTCAGGCTCTGAACAAGAGCTGCTGTGTTCCTGCAGAGCCTGCTGACAGGGCAGTGAGTGCAGTCCCTGCCTCAGGTGACATCCAGTGGGGACACTGCCACCAGTGCCACGGGGTCATGGGTGAGGGGCTGAGCCCCCAGCGTGTGCATGGAGGTGCTGGGGCACAACTCAGTTGTGCTGATTGCCTCAGAGAAACTTGTTCTGCCTCTTCTTTCCTGAATGTGCTGTCCTGGCATGATTTTCCCATCTGGTAATAAGGTGGCTTGCCTGCTT